CCTAAAGTATAGCTTACAGGGTTTCCAAGGGGAATGTTAACATAAAGGCACATCATTTCTGTAAATTCACAGCCATGTGCTTTATGGAACAAGAGGTAGGGGCCATGTTGAGAGGGAAACTCAACATGCTGATTAGATTTAGCAATAAGCATTTATGTTTCCCTTGCTTTAGCTGTTACTGATAATTATTTTGGTTACTTGGGAACAAATCTTATAATCCTAGAGAGGCAGAGACAGATGCAGATGGCTGTGAACTGCATCCAATAGGATCAGAAGCTGGCACATGTAGCAACATAACCATCATCAAGTTGGTTGTTACAGCACAACCCATGGGGAGAGGGAGGGAGCTGGAAAGCCTGAAAGTTAAAAGGACCCTGGGAGTAAGTTCCAAAGACTCGTTCACTGAGAGGGCAGGTACATACACCATCACCAGAATGACAGCAATGACCAGCCCGGGGTTAGAAAGCTGCCTCAAAAATCTTCGCCATCCAGCTTGGGAAATCATTTTCCAGGGTCTCACCAATGACTTCAAACATCCTGTTTTTGCCACTGGGGGAAAGAGGGGGGGAGTTACTGAATTTAAAATGATTTGCAAAAGTATGATCACAGCAAGTAAATGAAATGTTCTCAAATATTGCATAGGAACACTTTTGGGTTGAAAATCTACTATTTGGCTACATCTCCTTATGCTCTGACCTCATCTTATCCTCAGGTGAATGTGATGTGAGTAATGTCATGCCAGCATGCACACTTAGACAAAGCAGTCAGGAAACTACGCACAGCCACAGAAGAATTTTAAACATCGTATTTCTAAGTTTTTGATTGAAAGACATTTTATGTCGGGCATAAGTCTGCTCCTCTGCTAGCTGCTCTTAGTTAGACAAGGCTGTCTTTGGGCTTGGTATGTGACACACTCAATTATTAATTGGCTTTGGAAATAAAAGCAAGAAATATATTAGTGGAATAACATCTACAGACACTCCAGTATCTCTTTCCACACCATGGTTTCTACCTCTTTCCCACCAGACCTCCTTCATCTCCCTGAGTGTCTCTCCTGTTACACAGCTCCCAGTGAACACCAGCTAAGACCCATTGAGGTTAGAGGAGAATCAGCTCCTAGAACTAGAAAAGTGAGAGCAAGATGTTTTAAGTTACTATAGAGCATCTAGAACTGTGATGGAACACTGGCTGTGCTAAGCTATTCCCTTTGTATATGTATACTAATCTTTCTAGAAAACATTGTAATTTATATAAAAGCTTTGGGCTGTATTTCAGCAAAGTATATGTACCCTCAGTTTAAAGTTAGCAGAGTATTTGATCTTTACTTTTGTTTTTTAGTATTTAAACATTTAAGCGAAATAGATATGATCCACATTCAAGATGAAGTGGAGGGATTTTTTTCCCCCTCATCAGTTCTAACTAGGCCTGTCTTTCAACAGACAAGGAGTGATTCCATATGGTTCATCAGGAGTTATTAGACTATGGCATATATGTGATTTAGTTCCCAAGTGGTAGATCAGAGCAGACACATAAAGGCACACAAGTGACTAATGTTAAGGACAAAGCCACAGATGGTGCTCAAAGTCTTTGGGAGTATGGGTGATTCTTATGTCATTGTTAAACATTTCTGAAACTTTCATATTATGTAGGATTATTTTTCACTGTAAAATAAAAATAAATAAAAAATAAAATTGCAATGAGCAAGTGAAAACTGGAGAGCTATTGTAAGGTATTGACATATGTGTGAGCAGACATCAATGTGGAGACATGTGGCTGAACAGTTAAGAGTACTGTCTTCATAGGGCTATCAAATAAATAGCTTTTAAATTTCCTGGCATTTAAGGTAAATCCACCAGAGAGCTGTCTGAATAATATTTCTAGAAAATGTATCAGAATTTGCTGGATGTGTCATTATGGCTTTGCTGAGTGTGTGAACGGATGGCAGCCATCTTACCTGCAAACACACCTGCAACTCGAGAGCAACCAGACAGCACGGTGGTGTATTCAAATTCAAAGTTGAAGACATAATTCAGGTTTCAAATTAACCTCCTTCAAATTCATCGTGCCCAGTTTGCTGCCCACTCAGGAGCCAGACAGAGTCTGGCCCAGGCAGGTGGGCAACACCTCAATTCACAGTTCCTAAGCATGACAAACCATGGGGAACGTGTTTCCTGGACTCATTTCTAGAACAGAATTGCCTTTCTAACTCTTGGAGTAGACAAAGAAACAAACATTCTTTTGCCACCAAAGAAAATAACCACTAGAAAAACTAAGGGACATAGATGAACCCCTTTCCCAGGACTCTTTTGCAAACATGTGAATGTTCCTAATCTCAAAACAGTGATCTCTATAGAGTGATTGTGTCCAAATTTTTCATTCAGAAAACTTTTGGCAAAAATCACATACAGGGGAAATAGAACTTAAAAAGCTACAGTTGGGCAATCATTGTGTTTCTAACTGGAATTTTAAGTCTGAATCCAGCTGTGCAACCACTCAGTTTGGTGTTCACAGTTTGTGTGGTTTCCTTACACTGCTGTAACAGAGCAAAGGTTCATTGCTGTGTTTAACTGAGGAGGATCAGTTTTTTAATAAAAAGTTAAAAGCACTTTTAACATGAATCTTAGATATAAAATCATGTGAATAATTCTCAGTTACCCGAAGACTTTTCAGTGGCTTATCTTTTGAACTATGTACTCAGATTAAGATACCTGCTTCAAGACTGCAGTTTCGTATTTAGTCTCCAGATGTCACTATCTGCATTATTTATTCCAACCCAACTGCCAACAGTTATATGTGTATATGCACATGTACACACACATGTGCAAGCAAACACAGATGCACAGAAAAATGAGCAGGGCTTATCAACCTCAGTTTCTTGAGTCTGACAGGCACTAGCTAGTTCTGAACAATCATTTATTTAATATTTCCTTTCTTTTTCAGTAAAACAATAACTGAAGTAACTATTGGAGTAAAAAATGTCTCTTTTATATTTGGCCTTGGGCAACAAACCTTTTGAATTTAATTAAATCACGGGTCTGACAGCACGAAGGGAAAATTCTATGTGGGCATGGAGTTTGTAGCTCACAAGACCTTCATACTCATTCCCTTTATGTCAGATGTGTACAGGGATTCCGGGGGGACATGTGATAAGTTTGTTTCATTTCTAAGAGCTTTCAGGGAATGAAACCCTGTTCTCCACATCCCAAAGACTCTAATTTTTTTGTTCATCATGTAAACTTGTAGAAAAGTAAACTTTAACTTATGTCAGAGAGTTTTCTTGAGTCTTGATTACTGATTTGAGTGACACATAGGTAGAATATAAATGCTGAACCGGGGAATACAGATTTTTAATTCACAGATAACTTTGGGATCAAAATATAGGTGACTTTCTTTGTATATGTATCACGATTTGGGAATGAGTCTACTTCTCACTTAAGGTGGAAAATCTGCTTTTTCCAAGGTCCACATGAAACGTAACAATGTTGATTGTACGTATCAGGAAAATCTTCACATCCAGACCATTGTAATCAAACCTTCTCTTAGCTACCCCCTAATATGGAAACAGCTGGCCTCATTGTCTATGTTTTACCCAGGCAGAACCTAGAGCAGCATAAATTATTTTCCCTTTATGAATCTCAAGGGAGCATTTAGATGGAGGATGCCTGAGATGCTCCACATCACATGATGGTCCTGGTGACGCAAAGGATCTAATTTCTGCCAACCAAAAATGTCATCTAAAAAACTTAAGCCTGGACAGTGAGGGGCCATTCCCCCCTCTACCCCTAAATGAACACTGCCCCCAGGCCAAATCTGGAAGACAAGAGACCTGAAGGGACCACAATCGAAAGACGGCGGCAGGGAGACGATCATGTACAGGACGGGCATGGTGGACAGGAAGAGGATGAGCAGCAGCATGCCCAGGTAGAAATTGTTGGATCTGGACGCTTTGAAGACTCTGGCCTCAGGAACATTGCAGCACATCACCGCCCAGCACTGGAAGTACATGGATGTGTGGAGTCGGAGGATATTGATGCCTGGGAGGCTAGGAGCAAAGAAGGAGCCCATCCTAGAAGAAGAAACCAGCATCCTGCTCAATTCCAAGTCTTTACTGCATAAGGAAGTCCCACAGTGCCTGTTTAAGTCATGCTTCCCAACAAAGGCAGGAACCGTATGGCTACACCCAACCATGAAAGCTGCCTATAAATAATCTTGACTAGCCCTGCTTCCATCTTCTAGACACGTTTTACCATTTTTCCCATTTTGCAAATATTTTATATCATTCTTTCACAGGACGTATGTCATAAACTAAATCTGTTATCATGAGTAAAAATAAGCTCTAAGAGTCAACAAATGTTACAATTTTTAACTTTTTTATTTCTTCTAATGTTATAAACTCATTTTTCCAATAGTTATATCATTGACTAGCATATTTCAAAATAAAATTTTTAAAATGATTAGCCATTAAAATCTGTCATTCTATTCAAATAAACTGTACATTTAGACTAAGCACGTTTGTTATAAAGTTTTGCTTAGTGAAAAAAGTAAAAATTTTATAATGCTATTTTTCTGTGTAGTAGCTATAGTGCTTTAGAGCTGATAGAAAAGATATTGATAACTAACATTATATTGTTTTCCTTGATAATATATAGCTGTCTATGTGTTTTCATGATAAAAATTCCTCACATTCATTTAAATTTAGTTCTTATTTAATAATCTAGGTAATTCACTTTTTTGGGGGGGACTTTTTGAGACAGGGTCTCCCTATAGCCACAGCTGGGCTGGAACTCACTATACAGACCAGGCTGGCATCGGTCTCACAGAGGTTTGCTGGCCTTCCTTTTTAAAAACATTTTATTTATTTTTATTTTATGTGTATTAATATATTGCCTGCATGTATGTAACTGCACCTGTGTCATGCAAGGCCCCAGAGGCCAGAGGAGGGCATTGGATCCCCTGGAACTGGAGTTAACAATGGTTCTTAGCTGCCATGTGGGTGCTGGGAACTGAATTTGGGTCTTCCTGCAAGAACAGCCAATGCTCTTAACTGCTGAGCCATTTCTCCAGCCCCCTTTCCAATACTTTTTGAAAGTACTATATAATACTATTTTTGAACAGAAATCACCTGTCACTTTTACTTGATGTCTTAGTTAATCATGAAAAAATAAATTTTGGTGTTTTTTTTATGAGAAAATCTATATGTATCATAGAACAATTTGAATTTCAATTTGGAAGTCCAAAACAAAAAAATACATCTGTACTTATTTTATAAGAGTGGAGCCCTATCTTTTAAACTGTCCCAAGGTGTCCCAAAATGTCTCAGCATGTCTGGTCAGTTTAACATTTGATATCTCCCGAATGCATATAATAGTTGTTTAAGTTGGTTTTAATTGTCAACTTGATACAATCTAGAATCACCTAGAAAGAGAGTTTCAATGAGGGGTTGTCTAGATCAGATCGGCTTTTGGGCATGTCTGTGGGGGAATTTTCTTGATTATATTAATTACAGAGGGAAGACCTGTACACTGTGGGTAGCATCAATCCCTAGACAAGGAACCTTGAACTGCTTAAGAGTGGGAACGTGAACTGGTGTATGTGCCATGCATCCGTTCATTGTTCTCTCTTGCTGACTATGGATATTGTGGTTAACTGCTTCAAGCTTCTGCTGCCTTGGATAACTGCAACCTGAAATTGTGAGCCAAAAATCAATGGCTTCTTCCTAAGTTGCTTTTGTCAGAGTATTTTAGTCACAATAACAGGATAAGAAACTAAGAATCTAAGTCATAACCTAATTTTGAAGGAATACTTTGTATATTACAGAAGCGTTATAAGTGAGAAGAAATTAACTTCTGCTTTAATTGTACTTCTACCATCCCAAAGTTAATTCATTCCTTTGAAACACAAAATATTCCCAAAAATTGAATTATATTGTTGGTAAGATGCCAAGCAGCATATCTGAGTGATGACATTGTGAACTGACCACAGACTTTGCAAGGAGTTCTTTTTTCATGGAGAGTAGATTTTAAAACAACACTATGTACCTTTGTTATAAACTAGCAAGAGAGAAGTTGGAACTCAAAAGAGAGTACATGATGACAGTTCCAGTTAATGTGGAAGGATTACAAAGCTCGCCCCCTGGGTCTGATCATGCCTACCACCCTCCAAAACTGAGGGTGGGGTAGGTGACATGTTTTGGTCCACAAAGCATAATTGTAAATGAGATGTCTCACTACTGGGTGGAAACTTTACCAGTTTTGTTTCCTTCTCTTCCTGCTATTGTGACAGCAATGTTCCAGATTGATTCTACACCATCAGTATAGGACTCTGAGCGAGAATGAGGCATGGGATCAGAGCTCTGCCCCAGCCTGCACTGAATATTTTCTTTCTCTAAGGTGCTAAGATCTGGGGATTTTTTTCATTTATGCACAAATTAATTGAGTCCAAGTTAAAATTTTGAATTTAAATAATTCAAAGCCTAGATTTTCCAAAAATGACTCACCCATGTGCCTATAACACAATGGCATTGCTTCTCTAAATGAATACATGTGCACCCACATGTTATATGCAAATGATCTATAGGTAAACAAATTTCAAAATAAATATCACATAGATATTATGAGAGCCAAAACCCAAAGAGGCAGGTCTTGGCACAATAATATCTGAATCTTAGTGATCATCTCATTTTTGTTTATGATTTACTAATCAGCTCAGCCCACTATGTCCCTTACCCAGACCTCATTCTGTCATCTACCAGGTAAAAGTCATCGCAATATCTTAGCTTTTATAAGATGGCTTTTCTTCCAAGAAGACAAAAGTGAAGGAAATAATCTTCTGTTTAGTGCTCCAGGGCCACATACATATCAGGTATTCACACCTTATCACGAGGAGCAAAGGACAGTGCAACTGGAAGGATAGTACTCAATGAATCCAAAGTTCTTCTCTGTCAGATCAGTGCTTGATGTGTGATGCTCCTCTGTGTTCTGCTATTTTAGAATATCATGTGCTTTTCCCATTTTGATATATTATTACAGATATATATGATATTTATTTTAAAAATAAACATGCAAATGAAGGTTTGTTGATCATTAAGCCAAAAGAATAGATTTTACTCATGTTTTGACTTCAATAACATCTCAATAAATGTTCTACAATGCTCAACAACTCCTAAAGCACTGATTGAATGTCTCTAGTCACAAACCAATGCAACCAAATAAAAAAAATCCCTATCATGTTTCGATTGTTTCTATTAAAAAGAATGGCTAACTCAGGCACTAGCTTCTCATGTCTGTGAAATAGTGGAATTAATAATTGTTATTTTGCCTCTGGAACTCAGGAACATAAATACCTTTGGTACACTCATGAAACATAATCACATCCTAAAGTTCTCATCAAATTAGCCAGAACAAGCCTGATCAGTGTCTGAAGAATAATATAAAGTGACAATGCCAACTCTGATAATGCAATTTTCTGCCCCTTAGAAAACTGAAAACAATTTTTACATATCTTTCAAGATTTTAGTATGAACTATAGTGGACAAAATCACAAATGAAATGAATCAGGCCGGCAATTACAATAGCTTTTTCAACAATAAAAGTGATTTCTGGGACAATCTGTTGTGTTACCTCTGAGAGAACACACTCAGCGTTCAACATGTCTATGCCAGAGGGATTTATGGCACTGTGTGGGCACTGCAGACATAAGGAACAGGTTTCTCATCATTCCAATAGCCATGCTGCCCACTTTCTGCCATGGAGCAGCTTCCCATCTGGGAAGTGAAAGATTAGAACCCAGAGGAACTGCTCTCCCCCTTTCCTGGGTTTACCAGTTGTCACCTTGACTTTCCTCCCTGCGTGGAGAATGAAGAGCACATTCCAGCCCTTAGTGATTCTCTGGTCACTAAAGCCATATTTGAAAAAGGCAAAATATCAGGGGAGAGGAATTATAATTTTAACAATCTCATAAAAATTATAATTTTTATAATTTTAATAATCTCTTATAACAGAAATAATTTTTTTCTGTAGTGTTTTCTTTATACTGGTTCACCTAGGGAGGCAGAAATTTGACAGGTCTGTTGGCAGGATGATGGACTTGGAAGCCACCCTTATGCTATTAAAGCAAGGTGATTTTCATGTTTGCAGAGGTCCAGTTCCAGTCTCTGTCAAGATGGCTTTGGTTGAAGGATCTGAGTAACATTTGAAGTTTACTTTTTGAACAAACTAAAGGTTTTCTGGCATTCGTGGTGGTGCAGTGGTGTAGCTTGTAGCATACTATTGCATTAAGCACGTATCTCTAGAAAAAAAGTAGCTCAGCTGTAACCGCCTGTGGATTGGGGAGCTGCTGGTGAAGACACAGAGTCTAAGACACAGAGTTTACAGATTAATTGCATGCTGTAATTCCATTTTCAAAACTCAAAAAATGGTTCTCACTGCATCAACTTATAATGTGTCAAAGTGTACAGTAAAAAATGTTTCCACTTAATAAAATATATGACAATTTTTTGACATCAAAATAAAAATTCCCACGTGTAGGTGGTCCTATACAACATTACAAACTGAAGATAACATTTTTAATTTGAACTTCCTAAAACATGTGTTGCATCTCTATAAACGCTTGTATTTAGTAAAATTTCATTTTAAAAAATACCTAAAGGATATATTTTTATATGTTTAGTAGTGGCAAGAAAATAAAATCAATTTTTCTAAAGGCCTTATGTTAACACATTTCATTATTTACAGGTGCTAATGTGACTGATCATTGATGACTGATGTTTTCCTATTAGATCATGGTGTCACAGGATGTAGGGTGGTTTCAAATAAGTCTACCAACAAGAGCATGGGCTCTCATGGTTTGCTGAAGGAGAACTCTGTAAAGCAGAAAGATGCCACACCACCCAAATTTACTTGGCAAATGGTGAACTGGAATCCACAGAATGGGGCTTCCTCTGACACCCAGCTGTAGTGCCTTCTGCACTTTTCTATACATGATCAAATGTCCAATATCTGACCTACCAGATCATGCCTTGGTTGAAGATCAGAGCGAGGACATTGCCACTGATGTCAAATTCTGTGTATGAAGGCTGGAGAAAGCACAGATGCTGGATTAGCACCTCAAAATGAAAGCCAAACAGCAAGAGGCGCCACATGAACATGCCTAGGCTCTCACTACTTCTAAACAGCAATAGCAGAATAATGACTAGAATACCTAAAATGAGAAGAAGGTCACTTTTTTTTTTTACATAGAAAAAGTCATTTTAAAATGTTATCAAGGAGCTGGCAAGATGGCTCAGTGGGTAAAGGTGCTTGCTGTGAAGACTGAAACTGATTTGATCCCTAGACCCACATGGTAGAAAGAGAAAACCAACTCCTTCAAATTGTCCTCCAATTTCCACATGAATGCAGTGGCATGGGTGCCTGCCCCCCAAATAAATAAATGTAAGAAAAGGAATTTTTATAGACTGTCACTTAGTGCTATGGATGTATGGCAAGATACTCTCTCCCACTTGATACTTAGAGTCTATGGGGGACACTTATTTAAACAACCACACACATACACATATACACATATACATGCATACATGCAAATATACACATATATGCACATATATACATAGAACATAGAATATGCATATACATATATGCATGCACACATACAAACACACACACAAATGACCTGAGAGTATGTTTTTTTCAAACTTAAGACCTCAAGGGCTGGAGGGAGATAAGAGAGGGTGAAGGGAGAGAATAGCTAGAATGTATTAGATACAGTAATGAAACTCAAAGAAATGCTCTCCTTGTATACGTTTACATATGCATATATATATATATATGTGTGTATAAGAAGATATAATAGGCCTCTGATTTGAGGCCCTAAGAAAACTACCTCCAACTTTCAAGTGCCTCTCCTTAAAAGTCTCATGAATTCAAGCTTCATTCACAACCCTTTCTCCAGAAGCGATAGTATTTTTCCTTTACAACCTAAAATGTTGGACAATCTGCCCTGTAACAGATCCAGGAAATAAAGGGAAAATATGACATAAGAGAGATGGCTAAATTGCAAGATAAAATAATAAAATTGTGCATAAGAGCTAGGCTGTCACTCAATAGTGGAACACTTGCCTAGTAAGCCTAAGGCTATGGACTTGCTCTTAGCATGGCAAAAAAACAAAAACAGACAATCCTCCCCCACAAAAAAGCTTCAAGTACAAAACTGGGCATAGGAAGGACATAATCAGATATATTCTTTGTCAAAAGCTACTTCTTAAATGTGAGAGAGTCAACTTCAAAAACAATTTTGGGAAAGGTGAGTGATGTCAATTCATTTTCCATGTATCAGACCGAAGTGCTCTTGACAATGGCAAATGCATGAACAAGCCTCCAACACACTGTATGGAGGATATTCATCAGTACAAACTAACACATACCAGTAGGTAGTGATTACAGATATACCTAACACTCTGACCCACTGGGAAAACAGTGCAATGGTAGAGTGCTTAACTAATAGGCATGAGGGCCTATGTTCAATTGCCAGCATCACAAACACACACCCTTAATCCCAACACTGGGAAGGCTGGTGGATCTCTGAGTTCAAGGCCAGTCTGGTCTACCCACTGAGTTCCAGGCCAGCTGGGGCTATAGGGAGACCCTGTCTCAAAAAGACAGAACAAAACAAAAAAATCCATCTAGTTCTATGAGCCAATAATTTCTCAGAAGTTCTACTTCAGAAATAATCTAGAAATTAGACACAAGAACACACATGAATACTCACTGCCCCTGTTCCTTAGACACGAATTGTGAAAGGGTGAGACAGGATTTGTTAAGTAAAGAGAGCCACACAATGAAATAAAACCTACAAATCAAGAGCTGTTTTGATAGACACTGATGCATGGCTGTTCCTAAACCAGCTCCACTGTGAAAAGCCTATACACAGGGCTTGTGTCTGCTGGGAAAGACTGAATGCTACCCTGCTACATTATGCTTTAAAACTATTTAAAAATTTGCCTGGGAGGCGGGGTGAGGGTGGGGGTGGGGCCGCTGGAGAGATGGCTCAGTGGTTATGAACACTGGTTGCTCTTGCAGAGGACCTGGGTTCAAAGTTTCCCAGCACCCACACAGCTGCTAACAACCATCTGTAACTCTAGTTCCCAGGAATCTGATGCCCTCTTCTAGCCTCTGTGGGCATTGCACGACATAGGTCTCAGGCCAGCTGGGATTACAGGGAGACCCTGACTCAAAAATAAAACAATACAAAAACAAACAAAGGAAACAGGCTTGGTGGGGGTGGGATGAGGCTAGAGATGCAGCTCAGCAAGCAAAAGGCACTGGGCTGATCCCCAGTACCACATTAAAAACTAGGTGTGGGAGTACACAGCTATAATCCTAGCAGGATGATGAGAAGTTCAAAGTTATCCTCAGCTATATAGTTTGAGGCCAGCCTAGAACACATGAGACCTTGTCTTCCAAAAAAAATTTTTTTAATGTAGAAAATACGTATTTCAACAAAGTTTAAAAATAGAAATAAGGGGCTGGAGAGATGGTTCAGCGGTTAAGAACACTGGTTGTTCATGCAGAAGACTCAGGTTCGAATCTCAGCACCCACATGGCAGCTAACAGCTGTCCATAAAGCCAGTTCCAGGGGATCTGACAGCCTTTTCTGACCTCTGTGGGCATTGCAACAACATGGGTGCACTTATCTACATGCAGGCAATACACGCATACACATAAAATAAAAATAATAAAATATAAAAAAAACAAAACAATATCGCAGATTTTTTAGTTCAGGAACTGGCAAACCTCTGTGTATGGATGGGTGGTATTTTAGACTGCACACAATATGGTCTCTGTTTCAGTCAATAATCTCTGTTGGAGTCTTTGAATTACAGTGAAAATTCAATATGGTAGAAATATGGTTGATGGCATTGAAGGTGATTAGACAAGAGTTTGAGGCCTCGCCCTACCACAGACCATCATTGTCATTGACTTAATATTCTCTTTTTAATAAATATTTTATTTATTATTTTTGTTTTATGTGTATGAGTATATTACCTGTATGTATGCAAGTGCACCCGTGTCATGCAATATCTACAGAGGTAAGGACAGGCATCTGTTCTCCTGGAACTGGAATTAAGTACAGTTGATAGCCTCCTTGTGGGTGCTGGGAATCAAACCCAGGGCCTTGCAAGAGCAGTCAGTGCTCTTACCTGCTGAATCATCTCTCCAGTTCCAAGATTTAATATTTTTTAAGCTTCAGTTTATTATATAATAGGAATAACACCTACTTCACAAAATTACTGTTTTTACATGGAGTAATATACTTGTATATATAAATTATTTTTGTAGCACATCTGATTTATAACAAATATGACATAAAATACAATAAAACATAAGGTCATATGATTATGATCCTGCTCTGATGGTCTGATTATCACACATATTTATGGATAACACTGAGTCTCTTTACCAGATCTCAAGGAAATCACCCATATTTTCATTTTATATTAGTTGAACACGGATCTCCTTTAAAATACAAGTATAGAAGCTGGAGAGATGACTCTGTGGTTAAGAGTACTTACTGCTTTTGCAGAGGACCCAGGTTCAGTTCCCAGCACCCATGTGGTGATTCATAACTACCTGTAACTTCAGTCCCAGCATATTTGACACCCTCTTCTGATCTTTGCATGCTCCTGCATGCACTTGATACGCATAAATTCACATAGGCACACACATGTAAATCAATCAATTGATCAGCCAGTCTTTTTAAAAATACAAGTATAAACAAGATGATGAATTTCTTTGATCATGCCCTGCATACAATTCTTTCTTTTTGGATATTCTTCATGCCTTTTATTGATAAACTGAAAAGCTATTATCTGTACAAATTAAATTGTAAGTAAAGAGATTCTGCATTGAGCTGTTATAGAACAAAAAGAACTTATGAAGTTCACCTTATGATGAATCATATCAGTGAAACTTCCTCCTGAGGGTAAAGCATTCTGCCCCCTATGTCCACAGAGTTTAGAACAACTGAGAACCAGCACATTCAGAGAAGCCATGGAAAATAGCTTATGTTAAGTTCATCTTTATAGGTTTATTCTGATAATGCTTTGGCCATAAATTTTTAACTAGGAAAATATACAGACTCACTTTCTCAACTGGAGCCACAATATAATTAAGCACACGTCATATATGTTTTTTTTCAGAATACACCTCACTGTCCTTATTTACCTCCTGACTACATGAATTCAGGAAACTCAATTAATTCACAAAATATTTTTCATTAAAAATACAAGCATTATGGTTTATCATTTCAAAATTCTATCTACTTTTAACATCATATGGCTTTCTGAATGTAATGTAGGAGATTGCTGTTTGGTTTCTTTAATGGGTATTGTAATAAAAAAAAAAAGAACAGGCTTTTTTTTAAAGGTACTTGCTCTGTGGCCAGTAAATCAACTTAGAGAAATTTATCATAAGGAACTAACCTGTGTGCACCACTATGATTCATCTGTGGTAATGTTTAGCTACATCAATATAATTAAATATAGTTGACAGTTATTACAAAAACAAAACAGATACAGTTCAACTGACAACAAATAAACTACTACATTCATTTGTAGAATATCATAAAACTACTTAGAAATAAAAAGAACAAAATTATGTCGTTTACAGGAAAATTGATGAAGCTGGAGATCATCAAATTAAGAAAAATAAACAAGGCTCAGAAATAAGGGTATTGGATATTTTCTATCATGTGTGGAATTTAAGGAGAATAAAACAGACATGGGATTAAAAATGGAATATCCAAGATGTTGAAAAGGAAAGTGGGAGAAAGAATAAGAAAGGGTCATAGAAGGCATGAATATGATCAGAGGATCTTCAATGAGTGTGTGGAAATGTCATAACAAAACTCATTATCTTGTGCAATTAATCTGTTTATAAAAATAAATAAATTTATGTTATAGAGGAATAAGGAGGAAGGTTAGTGTTAGAGCCACGAGTTGAATCCCCAGCCCAGGAATAAAAAGCATGTTACAATCCATCAGTTAATGATTTAATGATGTGAAGAGATGGGGATACAACCAGTGAGGTGCCAGAAAGTAGGTGTGTTTACCTTGTATCCCTGTATAGCCCCCCCAGCACACACACATACACACACACACATATGTGTGTGT